ATCGGCTTCATGCACGGCAAACATGTTTTTATAATAAAACCACTGCGCAGCATTCTCTACGCGCAAGATCTCCTGGGGCCTCCTCTATGATTGTTTCGTCACATAGGTTATAGCTGACATTATATTTTTTAAAAAAAATATACAGAGTGATCAAGTTCTTTGTGGTATTACTTCAGTTGCCTTCTCAGTCTCTGGCCGACTTCTTTTTGCTGGATATGATGATTATGAGTGCAAGGTATGTCTACTGTTTATCTTTTTATTTCATTTGTGTAATGCAGTCTAATCCTAAATTGTTTGTTCTAGGTCTGGGATGTTCTAAGAGGGGAGAAGGTTGGATCACTTAGTGGTCATGAAAACCGCGTCAGCTGCCTAGGTGTCAGTAATGATGGAATCAGCTTGTGCACAGGATCCTGGGATTCTCTTGTGAGTATATTGAATTCTATTTAAAATAAACAAATCTGCATGCTAATTAATAATTTTCCCACCCCATCTAGCTCAAGGTCTGGGCCTGGTAAACCAGTCACAACACCTCAGTTTGTTGAGGGGTTGTGGAATTGAATAATGGTCACCTCCTCATCCGTCTGGAATGGCCTCCCCGTCCTCTCGCTCGACGAAGCTGTATCTCCTCCATTACCTCCCACTTCTCCTTTTCCCCTACATTTGATATCCTCCAGTAAGCGTGGAATTTAAAATGGAAAGGCAAATGCTTACACCTCTCGAAATTCCATTGATGGCTGAAAGACTCCTTGTTTCCCTCACGGGTGCTTCATTTACAGATATCACATACTACACACTACGACGACATGAAGAATCCCTGATTCTCAATCATCAGCCCTACCATTCAAAAAGTCTGACTGTCCCCCATTATTCTGTCGAATTATTTCCTGGAATAGAAGGGAGAAACGGGGAGACAAGGGCTAACTACAACATTCTAAGAAACAATGCTCACGAAACCAAAAAAAGAGAAAGAGAAATATGGGGCTCGCGAAACCGGAATCATTGGATAATATATATTTTTCTTGTTGCTAAGGGCAAGTCTCTCATTTCTTGCCTTCTTTTCATTATCAGCTCCACTTCAGTATATCCAGTTATTTATTTTGTGTGTTTTTTGGTTGATTCATATCCTCCTCGGGTTTCCTGTTGCTAAGTTTCTCATTTGTCAATTTCTTTTCTTTTTCACTTCTGAGACAAGGGGCCTTTAATTGATTCCCGTATGTTCTATTATGTTGATTCCCTACACCTTCACCTTCGATTTTCCATTGGCGCCGGTTTCTTATTCCCAAACCCCCCTGCGTCCCTTGACTCTACCTACTGCACCTACGGGCTTGGAAAGGGTTGTGAAGCTTCCCTTTTCATATTCCTCTGGTTTCTTTCTCGTCCCTTTAAAGGTTAGGCTAAGATTTGTTTTACTTTTTTTCTTTGGTAACCTCTTCAATTCTTCTGTCAAATTTTTCTATGTATTTTTTTTTCTGTCATTTTCCTTTGCTTTTCTCTCTGTTCCCCCTTGATGAGATTTCTTCCTGGTTCCTATCCTCATTTCATTTCATTTATCCTCTTGTCTCGTTTTTCTTATTTTGCTCATGTTTTTGTCTTTCCATAGTTCAAGTTACCCTGGTGTGTACTACCTCCATATTTTCTTTTTTCATTTTTCCCCCCCTTTCTGTCGTTTTCCATTTACATCTCTTTTGAATCTTTCTCCTCCCTATCCAACCTACATTTATCACGCCTCACTCTTAAATATGCATACTTCCATTTCACCTTCCCCTTACTTGTTTTGCTCAAATGTTAGTCAATTACTTCTTTTCCTCGTTGTCAACCTCTCCTCTGCTGTCCATTTATTATCTAAATGGCCTCCAGATGCAAAACCCGACGCCGTACCACTCACGTATTCTAAATACCAGAGCAAATTTAACTTACGTATCTTCGTTTGTGTGGGGCTTCTTTGAACCTATATTTTTCATTTCCCTTTTGGATTATCTTGATATATGGATATGTCTTCTTCAACTAAAACTATTCTTGAAACTTTGAAAAATGTACCATGAAATTTTAAAGCAACGGTGCCTGGTCGGTCTGCTTTAGTCCATTGTTCTGCTGTGGGCTGCTAGCGATGGGAGTTTGAGGCCGGATAATAAATGGGGAGAAGGAGGAGAGGAGAGGAGAGGAAAGTCGTTGATTACTGCTTCACCTCCTACTCCTGTTTCTTTTGTGG